TAAAAAAACTAAAACTTCAATTGACTAACGTCAAAACGCTGCATAGTTTTGTTCAGAATAACAGTCCCGAGGAAAAGTGCAGCCTTTTTTGGATAGGAGACATGTTAAAATATGGTCGAATCTGAAACCAAGTTTAAAAATATATAAGTTTTTCGGTGAATGAAAAACAAAAATGTTTTTTTTTTGTTTTTTTTTGTCAGACTTTCACGTTTTTTTTATCGACTTGCACAATCCCGTTCAGTGTCGGGAACCAAAATGCAACAAATTGAAATGCCACTAAATTATACTGAATGCAAATGAACAGTATAATTAAACAACGTCATTGCTTAATGTGCATTTTATAAAATTGTCACCAAGAAAACTGGACTCTCCGACAATATCAGGAATTACTTCGTGCATACGTCCCAATTTTTAAAAAATGAAACTCTTCATGAAGGATAGCCAGGTTTGACACCAAAAAGTGGACTGTCTGTTTTGAGGCAATTGTTGACTTTTGGAGATCTAGCTACTTCTAAACAGTTCAAGCCGTGGATTCGAACCGATAGTTCAGATGTTTATTCTTGTCAGAAAATTCATGAATCCATTTAGAGTCAACAACATTAATATAACTTCACAGCTTGCCGCAGAAGCACCTGGCAAAATATACCTACTAAGTAGATGGATAATTTTGTTCCTACAAACGGCTAAGTTGTTTAACGGCCAATTTTAGGAAGATTAACTAATCGCTGTTTTTTTTCTTCGTGTCATACTTTAAGTTTTGTTGCTTGCGGTATTTTTTTCAGATATGCCTGCTTTATATTTCTAGACACTAAAACTTTGTTTCTACTATCATAGACAATTACTCCATATATATTCAAACTTCAAACAATGACCGCTGTCGACAATTAATGTGATACTTGCATAATAACCGGCTGCCTTGTGATCAAATCTATTTTGCATCGACTCCCCTGGCGTCGGTCTAGATTCCGCCCGAGAAGGGGTGGATTTCTAGTTTTTAAGAAAATTTTTCGTCTACATTTTTTAAGGTCATGTTCTACACTTGTAGTTCGATGGAATGACACGTGATCATAAGAATAATCTGAGATAAAAAAAGTATAATGAAAAAAATAATAAATACATTTTTTTCACTCCAGAGTAGAAATCAAAGGTCGCCTTTTTAGGCAAATCACAGTTCAGTACAGCTTGAGGCGCATTTCTATTGGAAAGAAAGGGACAAATAGCGATAAAAACACCCGATAACCTGCAGCTATCCCAAGTCCAATAAAGAAGTTCCCACTCTGTTAATTTATATACCAGATAGATTTTTCTCCAGTTGTTGACCACTTAGCAGCAAAAACAGCAGCAACTTCTCCCGGCAAAACAACAAACATTAATCAACACCATACTTTTATTCAATCCACGCTAAAACACCGCGGGTCTGAGCTGAGAAAATTGAGCAATCAACAAAACCCAACCACATTGCAATACCAATAAAATAACATCCTAATCCACACTCATCCGCAGAGCGTGAAAAAGTGAATTTGAAGTCTCCAATCTGAATTGAGACTTTGTTTTTAATTAGATCTTCGCCTATAGTTTCGATGTCCATAATGCAGTCGGCAAACGCAGCTTTTTCTCTTCTTCTCAGCATTTCCCTCCTTCTCACCTTGGTAAGTCAACATTATTACTACTAGTTAAATATGATTATTAATATAAATAAGCACTAATTAAAAATTATTCATCCTTGTTTTTTGATAGTTTAATAGATAAGTGATGATAATTAATTATTTTGCTCAGATCATTTTTTTTTCAATTATTTCAGCAATTATCTCAATGAATCAAAGTTTTTAGCGAACTGCTGAGAAACATTTTGAACTTCAAGCCCCAATTTGAGCTAGAACGTTTGTACTACCCGTCATGTTAAAAGTCGTTTTTCAAGTCGTCGTCTTTTTGACTGCATAAAATGTGCGTTGAGAGTATGCTTGCCAAAACTATTTCAAAAGCCAATTCAGTCCAATAGCGATTTAGGGTCCTATGTGATTCACCGCATCATTGCTTTTGGGAAATCTATTTGTTTTTTTTTCCTTTTTTTTGTAGAAGAGCTTGTTTACTCGTTAGAAAAATGAAGAAAAAAAGATTAATTTTGAAAATTCTAGAATCTGCACAAAGTCAATCCTTTTGAAGAAAATTTTTCAACTGATTTGTTTTTGGACGCTTCATAAACTATCTACCAAAAATAGGCTCTGAGGTTGATAATTTTTTTTGCAAAGCCTCATCGCATACAAATGAAGGAGAAAGCCCTGCGTGGTAACCAATTTCAATTTAGTTCGTACAAATCCATGATTCCAACATATGATTTGCATCACGCTTCAATCTTAGTCATGACGATATATTTGAACAAAACTGCTCGTATCCGAAAAAAGCCTTAAGCGTTGCGACTGAATGTGTTAAGGACGACGGAGTGTTCAATTTTAAAAAAATGGAAAAAAAGTCTCAAAAAAATGAAAAAATGTTTGAGATTTTTTATTTTTCAAAATCATCTCCCGACACGCTCTGTAATGTACAAAGGGATATATTTTGCATATAATGAAGTTTTAAACGCACCACATAGCATGCCTAAATTCAATTTGAAACGATTTTTGAGACGGATTAAATCTCCACTTATTTGTTGATAGCACGAAAAAAAATTGCGCAATATTTTATCCCAAATTGGCTAAAATGACAAAATTTAAACAAACATAACTTTTTAAAGAGCCATCACAGTTAACAAATATTAATAAATCTGAGCGTGGGACAACAATCGTTTTCAGATTTCATCAAGAAACTTCTTCCAAAATATTTAATTTGGTCTGAAGAAGAAAAACCGAAGAAAAAAACCGCATATATTTTTCGTCACTTTCTAGAAAAGTCAGAACAATGATTTAATTCGCATATGAAAAAGTAATGCACAGACCAAATAGCCGCCCCAATTCAAATTGAAACGATTTTGGCCAAATTGACAATTTTTAAATCCGTAAAAACTTCTGAAAAACTTTTACAGTTGAAATAACTTTTTAAATCTGAACTCGTACAAGAATATCTTTTGAATGATATTTAAAAATTCCATCAAAAAATGGTAGAATAGAAGTCGAAAATCGTCCAACGGATTAAAAAATTCACCCCGAGCACAAATTTTGCGTCATTTTATTCGAAAAAAAGTCGGAACAATGAAGTGAGCCAATGAATTTTCCAGGTCTATTTCCGCTTGATTGTAAGAAAAAATGATTTTTTCCTTGATAAAATTTATACACAACAAATAAATTCAAACATTGTTCAATGTTTATCAAATAAATTGTTTTCATAAAAATCTGAATTAGGAATGGATAAACTAAAGTACAATAAACACCCACTAAACCCTAACATAAATTGATTTAAATTTTAAAAGAAAATCATGAAAATAAATCTTTCTAATACATTTTTATATATTTTCTACGTTTTTACTGATTCTATTAATTATAAGAGTGATAAAAATTATCGAGTTAGCACAGTTATCTACCCTTAATAATAAAATTACCAAGCATTAAATTATCTTCGAATTTATGTACAAAAAGTTTGGTGATTGCTGGTCTTTTCACCATTGTTTTTGAGCGAATAATTAACATCGTTAAAAAAATCAGACTTTTTCTGCATCGGTTTGGTAATACGCTTCCGATGAGATTTTAACCTATATATAGAAAAATTGAGATTAAGTGTTTTTTTTTGTTCTAAATGCAAAGATTTTCAAGCAGACATTTGAAAAAGACAAGAAGGAGAACTTCCCAATTCGACAACGGACAGCAGATTTTCATGAAAAAGCATTCATAAAATTAATATATCAAAATGGCTCTGTTAATAAATGTTAACCATCTGAAAAAAAAGTTGTTGATTGCAATTTGGAAACTGTTTTGAAAAATTCATGATACCAAAAATTCAAATATAGAAAAATTTTGAAGCAAATTTGAAGCTTGCTATTTCGGCCTTTTGGACTAATTCTTAGTAAACGCTTTCTATTCGCATTTCGTTCATGGTCAAGGTGTAAACAGTGAAAAAAAAAACAATTGAATCAATTGTTTTAAGAAAATTTGAAACCTTTGTTAAGGTCGAGCTACACTGAGTTTTTGCATTACTGGGTAAAAAAAAACTGAAAAAAAAAAGAAATAAAAACCCCAAAATATGATTTAATTAAATAATGTTAAGTTGTACCAAATAAATGTTTTCATCGATGGGGAGGGAGGATTTCTCCTAAGTATGTCCCAGCTTTGAACTTATGTTAGAAGAAATAATCCTGAATTTTTTTTACAGAACATGGTCTTGTGGTCTTTAAGCGGTAAAGCGTGAACAATAATCAATCACCTCAATTAAATTATTTAAAGTTGAACCTGTGTCCGGGTTTTTCACCCAGAAACAAGTAACGCAATCAGCTTTGCCAATGTTTGAGAAGTTTGAACTTTTAAATTTAATTTAGAATTTTTTCATTGCTTTGGGGGGTGCCGGACATCAAGCCGACGGGACTTCAAGCCGAATTGTAAAATTAGGGACTTCAAGCCGAATATTTCCTTATAAAGTCGTGAAATATGAATAATTTGAAAACTTTTTTGAAGAATTTCTGAATTTTATGATCTTTCTTCACTAGTTATTGGCGTTTGGATATAAATTAAGCCTCCAAATGATGTTTCGGAAAGTTGAAATGTAAAACATGGTTGAAGGCATTTTTGATGTTTATAATTTATGCATTTCAAAAACCGGCTGATGTTATAAACGGATGCGAATCACAAGTGGTGCATTGTCATGAATAACGCTTATTATGGACTAAACTTGCCAAAATTTTAGAAAAGCAACGTTTTACAGATGATAAAATAGCGTTTTGGGGTGCTTGTAAAGTTTTAATTTCGGCTTGAAGTCCCTTCGGCTTGAAGTCCCGTCGGCTTGTTGTCCTAGACCCTGCTTTGGGTTACAGAACCCCCGCCTGTAGCCTTATTATTTAGGCTGTTCACCCCTCGTTGTATACAAAAGTGGGAGGGGTTTCCTAATTCAAAACGGAGCATTCCCTTTCTGATCTGAATGTGTGATCATTAATTCGCCCTAGAAAACACTTCATGAATATGTAAGTAGACATTGAGACTCTGATTAGAAATTGCATAATGAGTTCTATTTGATTGGTGTAAGAGCAATTGATATTTAGAGTCGCATGGGCAGCAATTCAAAGTAGATATTGGGTTTCACAAGCGGTGTTTATGTTTCTGCTGGGAAAAAAGGACGACGACTTATAAACTCAACACCCATTATTAATTCAAGTTCAACATTCCCGCTCCTGCAATAACGACTTTCTCCAACTTTGGTGGAATGTTTGTGCATAAAAATCGATAGTTAGATTTTAGAATAATTTGCCAAAAGCGACGCAGATTATTCATGTCTAAAGTTAATTTTTTTTCGGATGTCAAGAGAGCTCGAAACACAATTTTGCTTGTCTTCTTTAGCTCAATTAAATTAAAAAAACTCGATTTTTTTGATTTTTTTAAAATGCAACCTTGCCCTACCAAAAAATAGAATGAGTATTGCGATGTCTGTTCTGTTTGCGGTTGCATTTAGTCTTTTTGTTAAGTTTGTGAAAACAAAACAAAAATAGATTGAAACATTTTCTCGGAAAACAATTACATTGAAAACAAACATAAGCGAGTCTTTTTAAATTTTTTCGCAATTGTCTTTTTTTATAATTCAGTGTAAAATTACCAAACAATTAAAATTGATACTTTGATCTATCAAATTTGTAAGCATCCTTTCAGATTTTTCAGATCTGATTCAAATAGGGTGTTATTATTGCTTTTCCATCGGGATTGCGAGGATATATATCGCAAACTGTAATCTCAGCTCTTGTCAATTGTTTTTTTTCTTATTTTATTATCCGGTTTCAAAAGGGAGTTTTTCTCTCAAGTTCTTTTTTCTCTCCAAGCACAATATCGATTTTGACTGACTTGACTTGCTATTAGGTGCTTGTGAAAAATCAACAAAAAGAGAGCTTGAAAAAACATATCGATTGCAATTTTCTAAATTGCAAATTCATTCTTTGATCCGACAAACAACATGACGCTTGCTTTTAACTGTTGTTTGACATAGACCTACAAAACAAAAACAATCCATCAAAAAATAGGAGCTTGAAAGTCAAGTAATCAATATGTACTGGTCAAAAAATCCTAGGAAGCCCCAGTTTCTTAAGATTAAACAGCATTTGAAAAACGCAACAAATCACAGTTTGACGTCCTTAACCACAAAAGTTTATCAATAAAGCTCTGAAGTTAAGCAAACATCATTACGCGTCAAAGTCAATTCTGTTATAAAGCCAGTGGCGCAATTAGAATGGGTGGGGGCAGAAGGAGGCTTTCAATCTAAAGCGAATATAGGGTCGTTGAAGTGTTTTGTAGAGCTGAAAGCGACAAAATTTTTCAAAATTTTTTGAAATTTTCCAAAGTTCTCAGATTCGTTCTGTCTCAATTAAACCATTTTGAAAAATGTATTTCAGAAAGTTTTGCTCAACGGTAATAAAAATGTTACCTCCAAAATAAAACCTCAAAATAAAACGACACAGAGCACCAATAAATTGTCACTTTCTTCGAAAATTGGAACAAAAAATGTCTCATTCAAATTGATTTTACGA